CCTAGGAATCCCTACTCACCTCTCCGTCCATCCAGACCCCGTGGAATCCCTACTCACCTCTCTGTCCATCCTGAGCCCGTGGAATCCCTACTCACCTCTCCGTCCATCCAGACCCGTGGAATCCCTACTCACCTCTCTGTCCATCCTGAGCCCGTGGAGTCCCTACTCACCTCTCCGTCCATCCAGACCCTATGGAATCCCTACTAACCTCTCCGTCCATCCAGACCCTGTGGAATCCCTACTCACCTCTCCATCCATCCAGACCCCGTGGAATCCCTACTCACCTCTCCATTCATCCTGATCCCTCCCTCACTGTCTCTGTCTCCAGTACTGTCTCCTACAGTATTGGCACCCTGGTCAGCATCTCCTTCGTTGGCGTTTCCTCTTCAGACATTTCAAGATCATCTCCATCTTCCAAGGAGTGTGACTTTTCCATAAGTTCTACCCTTCAGCACCTCCACCTCTCGTATCTTCGAGATGCATATGCTCATAAATTATGGTGATTTTTTCTCTCTGTTCAAGGTAACTGGCTAAAATTATATTGCTGGAAGGCTTATACAAAATGTACTGGTAGTATCGGTAGTATACCTAGCTATGACCTAGTATGTATCCATTTAATATACATAAATCGATAGCAACTTGGTCATAACTATACACATACATATATAGGCATCTAATATGTGTACGAGTCTACTTTCACTTTACGCTAATGTGTTTTCCCCCAATGTAATTATTTAGGATCATACACACTTGCCCAAGTCTAATCGCTCTTTTAACTAAAAACTGTTCTATCATGATTTAAATGTGGATATGATTTCTAATAATGCATTGAGTACATGTGTCTGTTTCCGTTCCAAACTTTTTAATGTTTCTGACCCGCACACGTGCCTAGCAATGTTTTGATTTTGTGACGCATGCGCTGTGACTGATCGTAATTCTGACACGCCTGGTCTCCCGCGATAAACGTGAACAATTTCAAGTACTGCTGTTAGTCGTCTCTGTGGTCATAAATATTATGGTATTACCAGATCGCAAATTTGTCGCTTCATATTTGCGATCTCCTTCTTTGAACAATTACTACAATGCGTCACAGGTCAAAGGTTATCGGGCTGATTTATTCATTAATTTATTTTATTTTTACCACTAAACATCAATTATGTCACCTTTGACAGTCGAACTATATGAAATAAAAACAAATTATATAGTTTTGGTAGTATCAGTTATCATCACTTACATGTACATGTATTACCAACGTATGTATAGAACTATGTTATGATAAAGGTCCTTCAAAGATCAAGATATAAGGTATTTTTTACCACAAGACAACAATTATTTCCCCTTTGATAGATGGCCATTATGAAATATAAACCAAGACTTTAGCATATAATGGTTACACTTCTTACAAACGTACGTATGTATACTTACTGAACATGTGTTATTTTTTCAAAGTACATGTGTGCAGGAGTTGTACACATGTAGGCGTGTATGTACAATTTATGTGAACATACAGTGACACGATCTGTGTGTTGACATGTTAAATGTGGACACATATATGTTATATATTGATGTATGGGCGAGTATACAGTGTATGGGTGGGAGCTATGTGTACATATATTAAGGCGTGTAGATATGTGTGGCCGTATGTGTATTGATATATTTGTGTTGTGTTGATAATGTGGACAAATAAGGTGTACATTTGTACGCGTTTATGGAATTAAGTATGTGTTATGTTGAATGCGGACACATATGTGTAGTTATGTAGACATGTAAATATGTGTAAATGTTTAAATATGATATAAGAGTTGTCTGTATCACTGTCATATATAGAGAGTGTGTTTATGTTGCGTGAATCCGTGTGCTATTTACATAATACGATATGATACGATTTAATTTATTATGTTAATTACACACATGGATATTATTTTGCTTTTGTTTTTCTCAAACTTATCATGGTTATGCCATTTTCCCTGTCAATGTATTGTCACCCACCTCACCATGGTCGACACAGTTATAAAGTCGATCATCGCTGATGCCAATTGTTGGCTTCATATCAGTAATGTATATAGTTTTTTTTACTATGCCTTTATATTCTTCATGTGTCTCATTCTTCTTCCTTAATCCATTTCTTTTCTCTTCTTGACTCCACTACCGCCTCCTCCCTAGGATATGCTTGTTCGTCCAAGACACTGTTGGCAGACCTCCACCAATTTTTAGTGATTTTTATTTTTGACCCTCCATGACGAGTAATGACTTATGCGCTTGGCGGGTTGCCATAGCCAAGGCTGCACAGCATTTCCTGGGAAGATCGGGGTAGATTTGACTAACTATCAATCCCACTCCTTTCTCTTCAACCTCTGACCCTAGTCCTGTCTCCTACTTCTTCCCTTATCCCCCCCCCCCCCCCCCTCCCTCTCTCTCTCTCTCTCTCTCTCTCCCTCTCTCTCTCTCTCTCTCTCTCTCTCTCTCTCTCTCTCTCTCTGTCTCTCAATTAAAGCAAATGTAAATATATATGTTATATGCCATCTTGATAATTTGTAGTAATATACTGTAGGGAAAGGGCTTAATATAAGTTGTAAAACTTGTTCCCAACTCCCATTGTATATAAATTACAATAAAATATGTTTAAATCAATAGAACATATTTTCTGGGAATGTCCTCATTCTTTCAGACTTTGGATTTGAAACACAAAATATACCACAACTTAGATAAATTAATTGATTTTAGATTAGAAACAGTATTATCTGGAGAGACAGAAAATGTTGCCTTACCAATAAACTTTATCATCCTTTATGCAAAATATTATGTATACACTGTATCAAGAAAAAAAACAAAGACTCAGGTTAGATGGTTTGATTGAGTGTCTAGCATTCCGATATAACATCGAAAAATATTCAGCCTCAAAAAATTTACGCAATGAAATATTTGATCAAATATGGTTTGAATGGAAAGATATTTTGTAACAGATTGAAAAAGCAAGTTTACACAATTCATACATCTTTGTATCTTTGTTTATATATTTTGAAATGAATATTTAAATTTCATCTTGATTTTGTGGTGAAATACTGTAATCTGATAAAAATAGAACTGCATATATCCGGTATGTTATGGTGTGAGTGGATGTATGTGCTGTTTTTTGTTTGTTTTTGTTTTATAATAAAACATTTAGCGGACATAAAAACCTGTATGAAAACCGGTTATAAAATGCTATTTAAAAATGTATGTCAGTATATGTCCATATCAATGTGAATGACCACATGCATGTGTCATAGAAATATTCATACACATGTGTATATATATATATGTACATCTGACACTGTTTGCACAGTGTATTTATTACTGTTTCTAAACTGCTCGAAATTATGCGTGCATACTGATACATCCGATTATATGTCTGGCTGTCTGTCTGTCTGTCTGTCTGTCTCATGTATGTGTGTATGCGTATGTACATTGTATGTGGATGTATTTGTATGTGTATTATGTTTTTTGTTTATACTAGACGTGCTATGTTTATCCTTGTTTGTAATATTATGTTGTATATGGAATTTGTAAGGATGTGAAAGAAGTATGTTTTGCGTTCTTGTCCTGTACTCTATTTGCAAATATTTTATTTTCCCTTAGCCCTTCCTATTTATTTATTTATTGTTTGACTGATGGATGCTGAATGAGAACTCTCCTGCGTGAGGACATCATATTGTTCAGGGGCTGATTCCAGGGCTCCCCAACCCTGGCTTCCCCTATCAAAATGTTTATATATGTTTATATATATCTGCATGGAAGCAGTATATGTATATACATATTTATGAAATGAACCTAAAAAAAAAAAGAAAAAAGATATTAACTTGAAATATGTTTTCTACATTGCCCTAATAATCTTCCGTAATTTCGTCTATTAACTTCACAATTTGAAATTGATTTCTCAAAATTTGTTTCAATATTCATTAAAATATAAAAAATAATTACGGACAGAAATGTAATTTTGTTAAGGGAAGTGGACAAAAATGTAAAATCATGTACTATACAATTCCACTGTAAAAAACTTTTTTTTTAAATTTATTTGTAAAAAATAATGTCTCAAAATTGTCGATATGGTTTATTAACAACATAAACACCGCAGTCAAGAATTAGCATTACATATGAGATTGCATGCCAGTAACCGAGTTCTAAGTCCCGAGTCCGAGTCTAGCGAACACGTTTTAAACCTAAAAAAAATAATAAGTACAGTAGTTTTGGCGGTCAGGTTGAATAGATTGAGGCGAAAACGGACGGCAATATGTTGATCAAGATTTAAATGACACAAGTTTTGATTTGCTGGTATGTTATTGTTGAGAAATAATCGTTACAATTACGACATGATTCGTTAGTTACATGTACATGTTTGTTGTTTTTACCTGGAAACACCAGAAAATCTAACTTCCCGGATTCACCCGAGGTTTCAAAATTGAAAAAAATATATTATTAACGAGGGTGCCGTGCAATCTCTAAAACAAAACAAAAAACAAACAAAAAACAAGAGCTATAAAGGGGGCTCACATGTTGAAATAAGACACTAGAATGTTACGTTTCGAGATATTACAGTTGTTCAGTCTAATTTAGTACAAATTTCAATACCCGGCCTCATAACGATGCAATATATATATATAAAAAAAACACAAATTTCAAAACCCGGCCTCATAACGATGGAATATATATATATAAAAAAAAACTGAAATTTCAATACCCGGCCTCATAACGATGCAATATATATATATAAAAAAAAACATCTCGTCGTCAGAAGCTACGTTATCGCAGCTTAGTCGTATTAGGCCCCACTTGAGAGAGTAAGAGATTAGCAACAGGGGTGAATTGTCACAATACGCATTTCATCGTCTTGTGAATAGACCGGCACGTTACTAATTGGGTCTTACATCTTGTGTCATCGTTTACAGTGACTCACAAATCGGTCGGTCTCGAATTAATATTTCGTGTCGGTGTTCAATGTCGATTGACTATGTGCTTCAGTTACAAAGTAACAGATTATATTTTCATCGAATTTATTCATGTAACAAAAACAAGATATGCATGTTTATTGTATGGCTTTACATTGGAAACAATAAGTTTAATTTTAAATTTGATACACTCTTCAATATGCATTCTGTTATATATATATAGTACTGATTTTATATATGAAAAGAATGGCCTGTACGTTTTGCCACAATTGTGATTTTTTTCAGAATACTTGTATGTCTTTGTAGCATAAATGATGCCTATCAAGGTAAGAACATGATAATGGCATCAACCTTATTTTCGTGTCAACCTTCTTCACATTAATGCTTTGACAATATATAGCATATGATAATTAGATAAATAGCACGATATTTGTAGGTACCCAGAAACATATGTAATACAAACGTGTATTACATATGTTTCTGGGTACCTACAATCGCAGCGGTTTCAAAAAACAATATGATGATACTTCTTCTTTCAAGGAAGAAAAACTGTTTTCCAGTTAACGTTTTTCGTCTTCTACAGTTACGGAAACAAAATGAATATTCGCAAATAACTCCATTATCTTTTGCATAATATCTGCTTCACTTCCGTTCGGAATGCACTGTCGAAATAGCCGTAGATGAACGGGTTTACAACATGGTTCACTATATACACCTGAAAGAAATACAAGTACAGTTGTCGTAAATGTGGAGATGTGTAATTCCAGAAGTACACAGAATCGAGGTTTACGGCGAGGTTCACGATCAGAGTTGGTATGTACATCACGACGCAAATACCGGCTATCAATAGAAACATAAGTGAGTAACGGTGTTTTTCTCGCCAGTTTTTTATAGACACAGATGACGTCCTTCGACGCTTTGAATGTCCGCCCTTTTGGATGGATGCATTCGACGGCAGGTTGGATTTTCGAACGCTATTGACTTCTCTTGAGCTATTGGTGTCATTTTCCGTTGTTGTTGTTGATATTGCTTCGGAGGCTGGGTCAGGTTCTGAGGATTTGCTTGGAGATGACTTGGCGCGGCGTTTAATACGTTTGTAGATCCGTCGTCCAATCATAACGTAAAGCAAAACTATCAACCCGAGAGTTCCGACGGCAAGCACAAATATCACCAATAAGTACAAATAACCAGTGTCACTGAGAGAGCTCTCGTGCTCGTCGTGTATTCGTCCGCATCTGTGTCCGGTAATATTACGCGAGATGTTAATAACAGGTATCTGCCCGTAGAAAAAGAAGATCGGAGTATGTCCAACGAAACAGATAATCACGGATGCCACTAGGATGATCATCTTTGCTTTGCTGTTCATCTGAACCCCAAAAGGTCGACATATCTTCAGATATCTCTCCACGCCTATGACCAGTACGAGCTCTACTGAAACTGCATTCATGGCCTTCGTGAAGAACCAAAGGGTCTTGCAGACGACGTTCCCGTAAAATGCCACGGGAAGGATGTTTCGTGTGAGAGAGAACGCCGGACCGGTAACACAGACAACGATATCTACTGCCGCTAGGGCTAGAATGAATATGCGATCGTCTATCTTTATGCTCAATCGCGTATTGTAAATGTAGATTATCATAACGTTGCCGAAAACGCCAAAAATGATGTAAAGTCCGAGGAATACATCTATAACGACCAGTGACATAGCCAGTTCACTGTTCCAGGCGAGTACATCTTCGGATATATTAGCTGCATTAAACACCTCCATCGTGATGGACTTGCATGGGTAACAATAGAACGCGTTTCCTGTGTATTCGCCTGCAGAAATGACGCTCAAGGACACGGTGACTTGTTCCGCCTTGCTAGTTCAAAGGATATCCTCTCTAGCACATGTATCCGTGTATGTGTTTGGCTTTTCCTTATACATATATACACTTATAAGGTGTCCTATTAACACACTTTTAACTTGGATAAGTATAGGAGAAATAATCTTAACTAGGGTCATTTAATATAATTCGTTATAACAATACTTTTGGATATAGCACGAAAGCTACAAACATCATTGACATGTAGTTGTGTGTTTAATGTATATAAAAAATATATATATATTATCCTTAAAAAAAGGATGATTTGTGAGTATTAGAAATCCAAAAGCCTGAAACAGTGTTTTTATTTTTAATAGAGTGAATCTATATATGCATTGTATACAATGTACAAGTAGTTTTAGATTTGAATGTTTCCTTATCAAAACTACAATGTTTAGGATCAGAATTCTGCGTCATTATTTATTCTAAAAGGCTTTTTATGTTAAATAAAAAGGACTTTAATTATTTCCTTTGTGTACTATATATAAGTGTATGTTTCACTCGTACGTAATAAAGAAGCATATACCGCTACTTTTTACTCCGTGCTACATGTACGCCGAGACGTACATTTTATATAGCACTGGCTTTATACGTTTCTGGTGTTCGCACTCGTGATAAATTATCGGAATTCTACCATATTTGTGAAATATGAATAGTATCAAACCGGTAACAACAAAAACGTATTTTTCTCTCTAGCAATTTGGTATAAATGATAACTTTCAAACTGACAAATATAAAAAGTGATATCTGTCACAATGTTCCGAATAATCATGTGACCGTTTCCATACATTACCAGTATCGAATGGTCGAGGGTTTCTACGGGATAATGAACATAATATAGCATAAAATCTGTTGTATTTTATGCGTTGTGCATATCTTGATGTATCATGATGCTAGCAGTAACCCAAATCAAGTGTGAATGAGGCGTGTTTTTTTAGCTCACCTGGCCCGGAGGATGTGACTCCCCCAGACCAATCCCGGGAAACTACCTCCTTGGGACATAACATGGAAACTCAATCTCTTGGTGTCTTATTCACCAAAACAGATTCACTTGTAGTTCTTCTTGCAACTTTGCTTCTTGTTCTCGTTTGATAAACCTGTATGGTATTCAGCAGGTTTTAAATAAATTCATTTCCAGGTGAGCTATTAAGGCCCCTGGGCCTCTTGTTAGATGTGTTGATCCGGAAGCTAATCGGTATAGCGTGTGTCGGGCAGGTATGGATCGTGCGGGCTGATATAAGATGGTCCCGGATAGGACTTTTGTATAGTAAGCAGTAACACACTTGCAATACTATACACATCATGACCAACTACAACACATGTTAATATCTTTTAGCATTGACCAATCGGAACGGTTGTCTTTCTATTCACGGCATCTAAAGTAGGATTTTCTGCTGAGCTACAGACGAAGCGACGGTCGAGAAGGTGGTTGCTATGGTATTAAATGTCGGTGTTTACTGTTTTGAGTCACACGGGTGTTAGCATCCTTTGAAGGAAATCTTGTCCTTTAATAGAGGAAAGCGGTAGAATTTCGTTGAAGCAAGCGTGACGTCACTCAAACATTTCGCCACAGATTACGCTTTGAATACCCCAACTGTTTATATATTAACATTTTCGTCGTTGTTGGTACTTTGAAAATGTAATAAACAGTAAAATTTGATAAACAGACAAAACAAATTCAGTGCATAGTTCAATATGTAATCATTTCTGATGAAAACTTTTGCACAAAACACAGCATTGCACTGTAATATCAGCGCAAAGCAACTTCACAAGAATACATGAAGATTGATGACATCATTTAGTATAAGTACCTTAAATGGGAGGACACCATTAAGTTTGATGAGCTGCAAAACCTCAGCTTCTGACGACGAGACAATTTTTGTATATTGCATCGTCGGTCCTACGCCGGGTTAAGGAGCAAATTCGAAAGTGTTCAATCTGTAAGGTTGCATAAAATGTACTTATCATATGAGTATAAAAATATCAAATTAATGTATGACTGTTAAAATAACAAATCGTTCCTGTATTTCGTTAACTTTTTTTCACAAACTTAGCTTATTCTATCATGAAAAAGAAATGAAGAACTGACCGCCATGGCAGATCACGCGTGATGTTATCTTAACTTTCCGTAGTCTCGTTCAACCAGACGTTTGCTCACTTGTAAGTCAAGAGTCTGGTCAAACACAGTATGTTAATCTTACCATCACCAGAGGGCAGTGTTTTTACTTTCGTTCCCGGACGTTATGTCAACGCCATTAAAACATTAAAAAAAATAATGAAATTAATGAAAAATGTACCTGTATTCCCTATTATCGAGAACAATGTATGAAAATGCTTCAAATGTCAAGACAATTTTTCCTGTATATGCATCCCTTAAGTATCCATTTATTCACTATTATCAGGAACAATGTAAGAAAATTATTTCATGTATAGAGAAAACACGGATACTTCAGGAATGTATGTACAGGTAAGATTTTCATGAATTAAAATATTCAATGTAATTTTGACTCTAAATGTTGAAAGGGTGTGTCTACCTTTGACCAATGAAATGTTGAACGAGACTAGATTACTACTGTAGCCACCATGTTTGCAACGATTTCCATATGTGGTCATGAAACCCTTACATTATATACGGCTGTCTTATGTCAACTACCGGCTTTAAAATGACAACTGGTACGTGTAACTCACAACTGTTACATACACACAAACACACATACACTTACACACACACATGTATACATATACGCATAGGGTAAACTGATCGTGAATCGGACACATGTTACAACAGGCCATCTCTGTACGTTGGTAACGTGACGAATGGAAAGGAAAAGTAACCGATGGGAAGCAATCGGATCTCTCGGGGATTAACTAATGTCTCCTGCTTTCATACAAGAAGAATAGCTTTAAAACACATCAAATATGTAAAACCCCAGCATTTATCGCGAGTCGGACACAAATTTACCGTGAGTTGGACAGCTTGTTTTCACTGATTTCAAGTCGGAAACAATTTGATCGTGAGTCGGACATTCCAAAAGTGGTTTTAGGGCCGAACTGGAGCTCCGATAGATTCGACAAGATACGTATACTACTGAATGCCTACCAAACACTACCTACAAAAAGCGCGAGTGTGAGAAAGGTAACTAACCCCTACACATGTACACACACACAAAGTATAGTGAACATGAAAAATGAAGCGTAGAAGCAGAGCTATGGTTATACGTCTTGTAGAAGTAGCCTGAATTTAAACGACCATCTATAATTTGTTTTAAATCTTACATGGCAGTTTAAACAACTAGTAAATTGTCCGTGACGCTTGTAATTAAGGTTGATAACTTATATGTCTCAGAACACGTGTTCCCTAGCGAATACATATGTAACTACTGTCCAATGCAAACGTTCAGTTGTTTTGAAATTAACCCTACAACATGACTTGGACATTTTGTCTAATATTTACCACAAAATGTTCGTTATTAATGCTAAAAGCATACCATCGACAGTACACCACTACATGCGGTCTCCTTGTACCACGAATCCAAATATATCTGCATACATTTTACAACCCCACTGTCTACTAATGTCCATAGTTTAATGATAATACCTGTTTCAGAAAAGCGTTTCTTGTCGTTAACAAGATTTGTTTCCAACTCATGGTGTACAAAATGTATGTTTAGTTATCGTTATGGGAAACGAAGCAGACGACATCGACGTCAGGCTCGTAAAATTAGAACCGAGGACGGACCACGTATACGGAAATCCGGTAATAACACGAGAGGATGTGGTACGACAGTCAGACTATACAAACACTGCGATATAGGCGTGGATGGGTTAGAAGTATTACAGATACAGCTTCAAAATCATTAATACAAATCATGATCAGCATCAACCAGTTTGTGTATAGTATCCAGCTGTAACTTAATATCATATATTTATTCAGTAATGTTAAGCGACAAACACATTAAAAAACTAATCAAGCAAATAATTTCTTCAATACTTGATTTTCTTTTCGTATATACAGTTGGATGTTAAGCCATATGCCTTGAATAGTCTGTTAGATCTTTGTACATGATTTTTATTAAAACTTTCAATCATGAATTAATATAAAAGCTCTTTGCATAACACGTGGGCTATTTTAATCAAACCCCAGAAGAAATTACTTGGGGCGTTATGTGTCATTTTTTGCCCCATTTTTTTTTTAAAGAAAATTGAATTTATTTACCAATTTCTGTTATAAACATCATATTGATTGACTAAATGGGGCTATCTTTCTTGGTGTATATTTTTTTAAGTTCGCATGCGTCGCTGCCCTACCATAGCAACGGAACTGCGTTACTATGTATAAATAGTCAAACTATGGTGTTTTTGGACACTAAGCATGCAGAAATGAAAGCCTCCACATGTGACAAACAAAAAAATCTTTCTATGAATAAACACTGGTATGACAATGTTTAAGCATGTCAAATATTTATTTGTTTGTTGCTTGCGGAGGCTTTCGAAAATTGAAGAATGTTGAGTGAATTTCCTTCAAAATGGCCTATTTAATTTCAACCAAATAGCGCACAATAGACGATATTCACGCATTTGATTATGAAAATACGGGTCTATGTCTCTCTTTGTAATGCCGTATCTTCTAAACCAGTTGTCGAATGAATTTGAAACTTCACAATTGCGCACTTCATTTATGCCAGATTACGAATATACATGCATGTAGCTACTAGTTCGAAATCCCCGATGAGGCGAAAATGACACTTAACACCCCTGGTCCTTTGTTGCAATACAGTGTCTTAAAATGATGTCCAAAAACAAAACTCTCTTCAGCACATTGTAGTCGTGGTACGGATAAGTACACTGTGAAGTACAACTGTGTGTCATGATCTTACGAATAGACATGGGTTGTGAATATTTGTAGCTAGGATGAATAGTTTTCATAGGCTAGAAACGAACTTAGTTTTAACCATCCCGACTGAGCGTTTGACTTTGGTTTCAGTATGATCTAGTGGATCAAGTTGCAATTTTCCTTAAACTGAAATACATCCGAGCGAATGACAAAAGCCGACCCACCACTATAACCAAACACACAACTGTAAGTCTACCCACCACAGTAGGTAAGCCCTCTACTGTAACCACACCCACTATTGTGGCTATTTATGTGAAAAAAGGTAGAGCATCTACGCATGTCGGTTTAAAACAGAAATTGGTTAATACATTCAAGTTAATTTTTCTTTACTCTTTATGAGACCAGAAATTACCATAACAAATGACTCGGTCTTCCAGTATGCTGGCATGTTAGGAAATATTTAATTCCCGTATTTATTTTCCGGCGACGGTATTGTATGATACATGTTTATGTAACATAACTCCAGAGCAGCCTATGTATTATTTTTTTCAAAAGAAGGTAATTTGTGAAACGGGATTTCCATGGCCTAGATATACGTTAAAGCATGCCTGCCTGGCTTATCATGTGAAGAAATGTTGATGTAAACTTATGTTGGATCAAAGTGAATATCAAAACACGTTTATATTGCGTTTCAAGTTAATGTCATGACACATGGACAGGAATTCGTTTATGTTACATACTTCTATCTATTCTCACGGCTTTTGTATATTAAGAGATATATATCTTTACCCTAAAATTAGACAGTCTTTTGAAATACATCTTGCATTCCTAGCAGTCACATATATCTCTTAGTTGGCTTCGAAAAAAGGCCAGTTTTTAAAATTTGCTTTCAATATGCAGTCAATTTTCTCTCGGAAATTAGCTGCCTACGTATTTGTTGTATTTGCACATGTCTGTTACATCAGTGTAAACGCTATTTCAAAGTTGTCTCGCATCAATCAAAATGTATATCTTGCCAAATACGAAACCATTGATATTTTTCAATTGAAGATAGATTTGGATCAAAAGATGTTCCGAATGCCATGAAAATAGAGCTACTTAAGTGAACCAAATACCTACTATTTCAAGTTAAATCTCAATAACATGTGTATTTTATTAATCATTTTAATGAGTATACATCATTTTCTGTGTTGACATTCTTTTAACAAACAAAAAATACTGGTTTAAGTAGGCATATCGCGGTTCATTTTCGTTGATAAACCCGGATATGCGAGGCTAAATACGTGCACATATCGGCACACACCAAACAAAATTACAAAAAAGCAATCGCCTCTTACACAAACATCTCAAAGAAATGTATAATGAAGTAACAACTGGTGCATAGGTAAAGACGGAGATTATATAATTTGACGGCTTTTTGTGACCGAGATTATGATCGCAGCGAGGAGGGTTTAACAATGACTTGGGTTATCGTCATTGTGAAAGAGGTCACACTTTGCGTGTGAACGACCAATCTGGTGACTAGTCAAATACCCCGGATCTGAGTCATAATTTTGTGCTTTATATGCATAATTACAACTGCAAACTAGCCTGAAATTTGACCACTATCACGGGCATTCGTTCCAGTTACAAATCGACGATATCTACGAAAGTAAAACGACCATGAACATAAGCCGAACACGTACTCATTTTATGACAGTCTGAATGTTTTCGACAACAGGCCGGCTTCTAAAATAAGCCGGGAATTCTTCTTACTAAAACTAAAATAAGTCATGGCTTATTTACGAGATTTAAGAGTATATATGGCCTAGCCATAGTATTTTTATTTTATTTTTGTAAATTTTGAGCTTTTTACGACATATCAAAATACCGTTTTGCTTTACATATAACAATCTGTTTCGATACACAATGTGAAGAACAAAATCGGGATAAATGGTTGGTTTGTACATTTTAACAATTGCATTCTGTACAATTATTTTGTGCTGTTGAAACGTTTGAACTGTAATCATCATACGAAAAAAATGTTAATATGATTTTTTCCATACATTTCTTAGATTGTTTGAAAAACAGAGTTTTAATACATAATAATATCTATCCATTGATTTTTTTTATCTTAACACCTGTATAACAAAACCTAGTAAGTGCTGATTGTGATCGATTTACTTGGCATCTGGGTTGAAAAGTATTGGCTGTAACAAATCCTAGTTTCAGCGTTAGTCAGATTTGTTTTTTTAAATCGTATGGTCATTTAAGAACGGCCTCCCCTGTGTACAATATACATGCGCGTAGTGTATGCGTGTGTGTATCACCAAAATTGCATATCAACCCAATGCTTTTTAGAAATAGGAACTGCAGTTCAGGTATAATCAAAGGTGATTTTATAATATGACATATTACTCCCCATATCATAACTGATCCATCCCCAAATATAACCCTCTCGATAGCACGAGTGTCTGCGAAGCGTTCCCCATGAGGACGGCATATACACCATCGACCGTCAGTAAGAAAAAGTAAAAAAACCAATCTCGTCTCCACTGCTTCATTAGAAATGTCCAAGGAACGTATTCCGCCAACCCAACCATATGACACATGCGACGTACATGAGTGAGGGTTTGGTTTAGTATTTTTTTAACGTTCTATCAACAGCTATGGTCATTTAAGAACGGCCTCCCATGTGTACAATATACATGTGCGTAGTGTATGCGTGTGTGTTTCTGGAGGCTGAGATATGTTCGTGTTTGTCTCCTTGTGATACTGCAGAACTGATGCCGACTTTATAGTGCTACCTCACTGAAACTTTGACATACTACCGAAGACACCCGGCAGGACACCCCATCCGGTCACATTATATTGACAACAGTTGTCACATTCCTAAATTGCTGAGCGTTAAGCAGGAGTAGAAACTACCATTTTTACAGACTCTGGTATGTCTCGGCCAGGGGACAGAATCCAAAGCCTTCCTCACTGTGGCGAACGCTCAACTAAAGGTCAAAAATTAGGGATTGTCAAGGGAGACATAAGGAAGAAGAGAGTTGTTTAGAAAATAAGAGAAAAGATAAGATCCCAAATTTAGTCGCCTCTTACGATCATGCAATGGGGCCAGCAGGTACAATAATTACGCCATACCTGCAAGGACGACATGAGTGAGGGATGTATCGACTTAACCGCTCGCGCGCGATCTATTTCTCACAGATTTGAGATGAATATGACGCTAACTGCAGTTAAAGTTACATTGCAGTTAGATGACGCTTACGCAAATGCTCAAGACGAATGGCTCTGTCTTCACGTCGAAACGTCATGTCTCGCGTGGACGTCTAAATCGCGGTCGGTCGTCAACGCGCCTATTCTCCCTCGAACGTCTGACATTACTCTCCATTTGGAACCATTAGCATTCATAACATGGTGTTGATGCGTCAGGCTCTCCAAATTAAACCAACCGTCTGACCCCCTTGAACTGCTGTCGGTGGTACCATATTGAGAAGACATTGAAATTGAATTGAAATTCCTGAAGCGATGTGTATCTGTCAAAAGTACAGTTCCAAGTGGTATGACAATATGTATTGTTATATTTATTGACAATGCCTGCACATATCTTGTTTTTCTTATTCTTTCACAACGAGCGGTACCCTACACAGTTGAGTGATTTTTACACACTGCATGTAGTGAACACAGACCAGTATACATGTAGTCGTTTGACCGAGTTGAATTATTCAAGACAATTGAATACGTAATTTCTTATCCTGCGTTTCCTTATCCAATCGCTATTGATTTGGCATTCGACATTTCTAACAATGTGATACTATTCGGTGATATAAATGTTGATTTTTGTTGATTTTTTTAAACTTGCCAGGGGGGAATCTCAAAATACGCTTTCTACATTAAACATGACGAATATTATTACTGGGCCAACTAGAACCACTCATTGATCCTCAATTTTACTTGATCCAATTATAGTTAGCGACAACATAAAGGTTTTTCTATCTGAAGTTATAGTCGTTGATAAAAGTATAAGTGAGCATGATGATGTGTTTGCAATTACAGATGCACCTAAACAAATAGCAAATACGTTTAAAAGAAAGGTATGGCTCTACAGTGAAACCGATATTGTCAAATTAAGAACACTTATTAATAATATATTATAGGAAGATCAGTGGTGAGCCCTTGTAGATTTAAATAGTATGTGCGATGTTTTCACAACCAATATTTTATATGCAGTAGATGAGTGCATCCCCTCCAAGTACAGTTGTAAGATCGCATAACGTTACACGATGTGCAGTGTGCACACGATGTGTGCACGGTGTATGAACGATGTGTGCATGGTGTGCTAACAATAAAAAGTTGGACGATCATTGCATGCGCACATTTGTGTGCACTATGGACGAACGTTGTGCGATAACAATCGTGGTTGGTGTAAATTGAGGAATGCCTTAACAATATATACGGTTTCGTGTTTAAACAATTAAACTTGTTTTTTATGTTTCCATATTCTACCTACATCTATAAGCTTATCTTTATGTCTATACTTTCTTAAATTTGGAAATTGTGTTTTCGGTATTTTTTTAACGACCTTAATCGACACATGTGAAATCACAACACAGTCCCGTATACAGGTAAACGTAGTCACTTTGTACATGTACCTGGACCGTAGTTTTCAGTGGTCACTCATCAAATTGTTATTTACCTGTTCTGTTACCTCGGAGCAAAACCCAGTCTAACGGTCACTGTAAAGCTGTGTTACACGCATTGTAAAACTGTACATAATCTTCATAACTGTGATGAGAAATTACAGTAATACATACCGTTTTTATTATTGCATATAACCTCTCCGTATTTTTTTCATTCCGTAATATTGATCTACAAATTGTACCCAATCGCACAGTTGTGCGGAGAGAAGCGCACAACGGGACGAACGATTGTTAAATTGCACAGTTGTGCGCACCATGTGTGAACGATGTGCGGACGGTGTGTGAACGATGTATGCACGGTGTGCGCACGATATTTGTGGTGCGTTCTGCGGTCACACAACTGTATGTTCAAATTCGTAAACATGATCAACCGTGATAGACTGAAAAAAAAATACTTTTTTCGAATAAATACTGATATGAATAAACAAAAATATTAACGGGCCAGAAATAAAGCAAATCATATGATTAAACGAGCCAAATAGATGTTTTTTGAGAATATTGACTATTTTATAGAAAAAACTAAATCTGAACACAGAACAAATTGGAAACCTATCAAGCTTATTATAAAAGGCACTTCTAATACTGATACATTTCCGCTTTATAATGAATCTTCTAGTGATTACGTTATCAATGACGAACAAAAATGTTAACTATTCAATACTTACTTTACTTCCATATCTACACTTAACGACTTTGATAGACACAAACCATTACCTTCATTTGATAAACAACACCATCAGAAGATATTATACAAATATTAACAAAGCAACAGGACTTGATGGAATTAGTCATAGAATTCTAAAATATAGAACGAAAGAAATCGCCCTCCCCCTCTCAATATATTCTAACTTCTCTGTGCAGTTAGGCCTTTATCCAAACAAATGGAAAGTTGCTAAAGTCATGCCAATATTTAAATCAGGTAACATCTACGCTGTTTCGAATTACAGACCTATATCTTTACTAAGGTGTGTAGGGAACATTTTTGAACGAGTAGTATATAAGTATATTTATAAATAACCTAAGGAAAACGATTTATTCTATAAATATCAATCAGGATTTTTGCCAAACCATTCATGTTCTCACAAACTCATTAAAATATATCACTCTCTTCTTCTGTCCTTAGAAATACGCAAACACACAGCATTTGTGTTTTGTGATTTCTCTACAGCTTTCGATAGGGTATGGCACGCAGGATTACTTTATAAACTTAAACAACATGGCATCTCCTACCTAATTCAAAATGTTGCGTATCGTTAAACGAACCAGGCTGTGAACGGAAACATGGCCACTAAGGCCAGCACAGGTAGAGCAGCCATCGATAATGTAGGTCGCGCACTGGTATGATATGACACACCCAGAAGATACAACTATGCTACAGCCACAGTATTAAAAGGGGCCTGTTAATTCTAATTTCAAATCGTATAAGCAGGAATTGTTGAAGGTTTTATCACATGTGTAAAGAAACCCCTCCCCGTTACCTTTAAAAAAATAGATTAGAAATAGACAAACAAGTTATAATGATGCATTCCAATGTATACTCAGACTAATACATACCTACATCAAATATAGAACGGATAAAACAAAGAAGAAAGATTTTCACTACGTGAAAGGAAACGACAGCTGGTCGTTGGATTGCCTTGCAATTCCTTGCCTTGTTAGATTATTGGTGCTAAATTTATACTTTATCACATTACTCCTTTGACTTTTGAGGGGCTGGGGTAGCCAAGTTGTTAAGGTGTCTGACATTCTGCTTCCACTAGCCCTCCGCCACTGGGTCGTGGGTTCGAGGCATACGTGGGGCAGTCGCAAGGTACGTCAATGGTTTTTCCTCCGCCGCCAAAACATGGCACGTCCTTCAGGACATTCCAATATGGCTGCCAGACCAAACTGTATATCAAATTCAATAATTAATAATGCATTCCGTTAGCATTACACAATCCCTGTCAAAAAATAATCCTCCTCCATCATTGAGGTACATGCGCACTAAATTTCAGAAAAAAACCCTTTTATATGGCCATTTTCCAAGCTAAATAAAAGTCACAATTCAGGGAAAAAGAAATTAAACTTGTAAATATCATAAGGTTGGATGTCCATGGAGATGCATTTGTCGAGAAAAATGAAAGACAATATGGAAATTCTCCAGAATAATGGTATATATTTCCCCTGAATAAATCACAACTGAGCTCAAAGCGAACAAGGCTGACTGAGGTTGGAAAAAAGCATGCAAAGCAGGTGAGACTTTACCTTACACCATGCACTCACTACAGGTTCTCTCTCTCACTCAGGTAATAAGGCTTGACTTGTATCAAAAGTCTTGTTAGTTTGATGAACTATTGTAAAATATCCAATAAAAAAGAAACCATGTAATCATTCTTGAGATTTGACACATTTTCTCACATTTTTCTCGACATATGCGTCTCCATGGTTTAAAATTGTTTTTTTTTCCAGAATTGTGACTTTTATTTAGCTTGGAAAATTAACATATCAGTTATTGATTTTTTTTTGAAATTTAGTGTGCATGTACCTCAATTATGTTTGAGAAATATTGGAAGAGGATTATTTTGTGACAGGGATTGTTTAATGCTAACGGAATGCATTATTGAATTTGATATACAGTTTCGTGTGGCAGCCATATTGTATTGCCTTAAATGACCATGGATGTTAATAGGACGTAAAACACAAACAAACAAATCCTTTGACCAATTTCAACGGAACCCTGTTGTATATCGATGTTTACCAGAGATTGGACTGTTAAATTTCAACCCAGTGTCAAAATGATTCAAAAGGCACTGCACAGTTATCAAAATACGTCTAGTTGTTAAATGGTTAGTTTGACCCCCTTCAGTACTTCACTACTGTGATTCACTTTTATGCATGTTTAAAGCTATTTAAGCCTTCACTGGATTACTGAAAGAGACGTGTATACCCTCATTTTTCTTAACAATTACAACATACTTCTGTTTTACTTGAAATTTTAGGGAAAATATCTATAAACTAGATTTTAACTTGACTAACTGTTGTAAGCAGTTCACACACCTAGGTTTAGGATTCATACTAATCAAACAAAACTGCGTGGTAAATTAAGCTGCTAACGCCGCCAGAAGTTGCTGTTTTGTTGCGGCAACGTATAGGACATTTAACAACTTTTTTATATTAAAATCTCATTTTAAAAGTGTATTAATATAAATTAAAGATATGAAAAAACCCATAATAATATTGAAAACAATATATGAAATTGAGCTTTCGTTAGGGCTGCTATTGAAATGAAAACAGCGTGGCTAATTTGTTTAAATTTTGGGTTTACCATCCCTAGAGCACCTTACGCCATATACAGAAGTGTTCATGGATGTTTGGGACACTAAAGGGCCATTTTAAGCCAACTTACTGAAATGTCTTAACCTCGAGATGGCAGCTAGGCATACTTAATGGGTCGCATTACACTGACAACGCACTACACTGTCGTTTTCGACACTCCTTAAAAGCGGGATATCAACCTAAGGGCAGTAAATTCATTTGAAACGATTCTGTGATTTGTCTCGGTAGGAAGCAAAACTATTAACCTTCTTCTTGCTAGGGTGAATGCTCAATAACAATGCTTATGATAACTAACATCTGTTTTAATGTAAAAAAAATAATAAATAGTTTATATAAGGTTTGCACGTCTTTCCTTGGGGAAACAACTGTTCATGTGAACACCCTCCAAACTATTAATGTTCACAATAATGCTCAGTAACCACCACAGTCAAAGAATAGGGCAGAGGCAATTGCTATGATGGTAGAAAATAGCAATATATATTTTCCATTTAGTGATTTTGAATATCGACACACAAAACTTGTATATACAATGTAAGGAACACTTATTTCAATCAACAAATACTACAAGACTGACGTTCAAAATAGTGTTTCACCATATTGCTTTAACTTGCCTGTTTCTTGAATAGTGTTGATATAGAAACCTACACGAAGATGCAATGTCCGATATTAGCATGCACGTAAAAGGGAAGGCCATGAGAAAAATTCCCAAAACACCTACTGTCTGTGCTGATGTTCTATCGTCAGATGCACAAGTCAGTTTACGACGATAGGAGGACAAAGTCGTAACATTTAACTTAAGCTCTGATTCGAGTTTCTGTACTAACTCTACAAGAGTCAGTTCGTTTGTTACATTTGTTTCTGTACACCGACACTGACACAACTCGGCATTAGATGTTGGAGTAACGACGGTGGCCGACAGTTGTGATGAAGTTGTTGAAACGCTTGGAAAGGTAGATATAAACGTAATTGCAGTAATTGTCGTTGAGGACTGGGCGCTTGCATCGGTTGATTTGATTGAGGTTCCCTCTGCTGTTGTCGTCGTTAGTGCGACTCCAGACAGAGACGTCTCATCTGGTGTTGCAGTTAGGGTAATATCAGTTGTATGTATCACATCGGCTGCTGTGGTTTGGGTAATTGTAGACGAAGATGTCTCGCCTGATGTTGTGCTTTGGGTAATTCCAGACGTAGATATCTCGCCCGCTGTTGTGGTTTGGGTAATTCCTGACGTTGATGTCTCGCTTGCTGTTGTGAATGGGGGAATTATTGACGTAGATGTCCCGCCTGATGTTGTGGATTGGGTTATTCCTGACGTAGATGTATTGCCTGATGTTGTGGATTGGGTAATTCCAGTCGTAGATGTCTCGCCTGAGGTTGTGGATTGGGTAATTCCTGACGTTGATATCTCGCTTGTTGTTGTGGTTTGGGTAATTCCAGACGTAGATCCCTCGCCCGCTGTTGTTGTTTGGGGAATTCCAGACGTAGATGTCTCGACAGCTGTTGTTGTTTTGGTAATTCCAGAGGTAGATGTATCGCATGCTGTTGTGAATGGGGGAATTATTGACGTAGATGTCCCGCCTGATGTTGTGGAGTGGGTAACTTCAGACGTAGATTTCTCGCCTGCTGTTGGTGTTTGGGTAATTCCAGACGTAGATGTACCGCTTGCTGTTGTGAATGGTGTAATTATTGACGTAGATGTCCCGCCTGATGTTGTGGTTTGGGAAACTTCAGACTCAGACGTGGATGTAGAAGTCTCGTCTGCTGTTGTGGTTTGGGTAAGTTCAGACGTAGATGTCTCGCCTGCTGTTGTTGTTTGGGTAATTCCAGACGTAGATGTATCGCTTGCTGTTGTGAATGGGGTAATTATTGACGTAGATGTCTCGCCTGATGTTGTGGTTTGGGTAACTTCAGACTCAGACGTGGATGTAGATGTCTCGTCTGCTTTTGTTGTTTGGGTAGTTTCAGATGTATATGTCTCACCTGCTGTTGTGATTTGGGTAGTTCCAGTTGTAGAAGTCTCGTCTGCTGTTGTTTTTTGGGTAGTTTCAGACGTAGATGTATCGCCTCCTGTTGTGGTTTGTGTAGTTTCAGATATAGATGTCTCGTCTGCTGTTGTAGTTTGGGTAATTCCAGATGTGGATGTCTCGTCTGCTGTTGTAGTTTGGGTAATTCCATATGTGGATGTCTCGTCTGCTGTTGTGGTTTGGGTAATTCCAGATGTCGATGTCTCGTCTGCTGTTGTGGTTTTGGTAGTTTCAGACGTAGATGTCTCGCCTGCTGTTGATGTCTCTGCTGTAGTTTGGATTACTAAAACAGTTTAATGTTGATGTACAGTGTAGAGGCAAAAATGTAGTATAGTGCACACTACGAAGTTAATGACAAATATTTTCAACACAGATAGATGGAATATAATTCAAACGTGAATATATGGATTTGAATACGTCTTATTTACCTTTATGTTCAATTTAAACTTACTCTCAAAGAAATGCTAGCACACATCATTGAATGTGTGTAAAACGGAACTATGTTTTATATCACAAGAAATGTTTTTTAAAATGATGCGTTTCAATCCATGCCTCGTGTGTAATTCTGAAAAATAACAGGATATATGCTCTAACTTTTCTCAAGTACAATGTATATAAGATGTTGTATTGTCCTTTAATATAATTTAATTTAATATTTTCTGAGATTGAGAAACCTGAAAGTTATGGACAGTAAGCCACATTGCAGAATTAACATGTTGATTCACAATGTCTTACCGGAACAGAAATTAAGACCAGAGGCTTCGTAACCAGGATCACATTCACATACTCCGTTGTTGCAGTGTGAGTTAACATAACAGGTGACAGAGGCGCAGGGGTCTATGACTGTAATAAAATGCAACGCACAATTTTAAAGAACTGTTTATTTTTAATATTTCTGCTGCTTCAGGAGTATAAGTTATTGTTTTGAATTAGTATAACTTAGCTCTAGCTAGTCAGTTTTTATAAGGTAAAACAAGAACTGAAATTTCTACATGAAGGATCAATTTAGACTTTGGTGATAGCATTGCTTTCCGAAATACATTACCGGAGCAGGATTTCAGACCAGAGACTCCGTAACCAGAATCACAGTCACACATTCAGCTGTTTCTATGGGAGTTAAAATAATGGCTGTTTAAAGTTACATATCCTCTGCTTTTTTCGTTTGCAAATTAATGTTCGCGGCAATACATTACTCATCGAACTTACTCTGCATTTCAACAGCCCGACCTGTCCCAAGTGGAACATAACGCTAATTGGTATGGTGAGAAAATACCATTAGCAATCCAATTCAATTGACTATGTTTAATCTCGTTTGGTATGGTTTGGGTTGGTTAAGTATCGTATAACGTCCTATCAACAGCTATGGTAATTTCAGGACGGCCTCCCCTGTGTGCAAGATGCATGCGTGTAGTGTATGCGCGTGTGTTTTGGGAGGCTCGATATGTTCGTGTTTGTCTCCTTGTGATAGCGCGGAACTGATGCCGACTGCATAGTGCTACCTCACTGAAACATACTTTCGAAGACACACAGCAGGATACCACACCCGGTCACATGATCCTAACAACGGGCAAACCAGTCGTCCCACTCCTAAATTGCTGCGCGATTAGTAGGAGTAGAAACGAACATTTGTACACACTCTAGTATGTCTCGGCCAGGGGACAGGACCTAAAGCCTTCCTCACAGGGGCGAACGCTCAACTATAGGCCAAAAGTGAGGCATTGTCATAACTAGTTATCGGGACGGTTTGGTGTAAAAACTGTTTATCAGCCCGGGTACTGATATGAATACGAATACAACACTTGTACACATGGGCAAAATGTATATTATCAGAGACGAAAGTGTGATGATATATAATACTAATTTGTAATGACTAATATGTCCGTATGAATTTTTTGTAGAATGGGATATTTTCTTTTAACTTACTTGTTGGTGAGGTAGATTAACTTTTTCCTAAGATAAAGAATCCGGAGTTATCCGAATTGTAGGATTAACAGTTTTAATCTCACAGGAACCTCTCTAAATATTTCTGCTGATATAGAAGTATGAGTTATCATTATAAATTGTTATTACGTATCTACATGTATAGTAAGTCAATTTTGATAAGGTACAGGAGGAACTGAAATATTGTTATGACTATAAAATATGGCTCTTTTGATAACATGACTTTCCTTAATACATTACCGGAGCAGGAACCCGAACCAGAGGCTTCGTAACCAGGATTACATTCACATACTCCGTTGTTGCAGTGGGAATTAGCATTACAGGTGACAGAAGCGCAGGGGTCTATGGCTGTAAACAAATTCAACATAGTATAACGTTTTAGAAAACAATGCTTTTTTTCATTCATTTCGTTGTATTATTCAAACATTCCATCTAACGGATTGCCGGCAATATGGAAAGCAATGACATGACTTTAATAAAATCATAAGTACATGAAGTCACATACTAGCCATCACACTTATCAAATATAAGTCCATAAAACACATTCCCACCTCGTCCCTGGCACGTCCTGCTCGTTCAAGGTACATTTGTAACACATCACTTGAAAGAGCAGGACGTGCCAGGGACGAGGCAGGAAAGTGTTTTATGGACTTATATTTGATAAGCGTGATGGCTAGTATGTGATTTCATGTACTTATCCTAGGCGTGACGTCACAATTGAAACGATTGAAACTTACAACCTATCACAGGGCTTTCTGATAGGTCATATTTCATGGGTAAATACGCAAACAATTAAGTGATAAATTATATTCATGTAACGTTAAACACTGCGTTTGTGCGACAACACAATGTTTAAAAACATAATGACTTAAAACATAGGAGCGTTTGGCGCATAGAATAAGTGGAAGGATAGTTCGTATTTTATTAATGTCAATTTTGACAGACATAGAGGATCTGTCATAAGTTTCCCTTCATATTAGATTGATGATACAAGTTTTGGATTTTTCTTTTCATGTTTGCGAGCCTCTGGCGAGCAAATATAAAAAAATCTGAAACGAGTATCATCAACCTAATACATTGTGTTGTCGCACAAACGCAGTGTTTAACGAAAACTGCTGAAATATGACATGTTCTTGCATAATGTGATTCGCATATGTTTATGATTGCGCCAATCTTTCAAATGCGCGAAGTGTGCTTATACATGTAGTACGTAACGGTTTTAAATAAGGTAAACAGATTGTTCAACTATGTTAAATAAGCTTGTGTATGCCAATGGAAATTATAAACTATTAATATGTAACAACATATACAGCGTAGTGGCGTAGAGGTATTACACTACTCCCTTCCCTATGAAGGTAATAGGAAATACTTAAAAAAAATAATGAGTAATTCATATAAATATTGTATCCAAAGCAGTTATAATGGTGTTCATAGGGAGCTTAAACTGTTGCTTAGTTTACATAGATTGTATCAAATATAACTTGCCAACATTTACGGTTCACGTAGATAGAATACATTTTTCTTTGTTTTCTGAAACTTAACTTTAACGATTGGTATACATCTTTCATATATTCTCCAAGATAAAGAATATTTTTGAACGGAACTGTGTTGTACATGTATATCATTACAAAAGTTTGAAAAAAGTGCACTTCAATCCTTCATTAAACAATGATACCTTTTTACGGGTTCATTTCAAAGGCGAAATAAATATATGCAGAACAGAGATATTTTCCTTTAATGAATTGTAATTTTATTTTCTGAGATTAAAATTCCCGACATACAAATGTATGATACCAGATAGCAGCAATGCAAGAGAATAAAATGAAAACTTTTGAAGTACGAATTATCATTTTTAATTAATATAAATAAGTTAAAACTGATCATATTTGGTAACATAACTCTAGACCTGAACAACTGATGCAGTATTGTTAAATAATATAACGTTCTATATGTCATTACCGGAGCAGGAACCCGAACCAGAGGCTTCGTAACCAGGATCACAGTCACATACTCCGTTGTTGCAGTGGGAATTAGCATTACAGGTGACAGAGGCGCATGGGTCTATGGCTGTTAAAATGACATATCCTCTGAATATTTGATTTGCAAATTATTATTGTGGTATAACATCATTCATCGTATTTTGTCAGCATTCCTACAGCACCAAATATATCCAAAGGTACGTAACGGTATTTGATATAATGTGAAATTACTGTTATCAATCGAATTCAATTGGCTATGCTTATTCTTATAAAAGAAAATTGTATACACCTACTTAACACAACTGCTTCGTGTAATATAATTGAAAATATAATATTATATAATACAATATTGTTAAAAAAGTATGTTTTTATTAATCTCAAGTATGCATTTTGTGTAGACTGAGGTATTCTCCTTTAGTTTACATGATGGTGATGTATATGAATGTTTACCTAAGACAATGCATCCTGAAAAATGTAAAGATTTATCCGATTTGTAGGATTAACAGTTTTACTCACACAGAAACTTTGCTTAATATTTCTGCGGATTTAGAAGAATGAGTTTGCATTTCAAATTAGTATAACTTGGCTAAGGTTGGTTAGTTTTGATACGGTAAAGCAGGAACTGAAATATTGTTATGAAATATTAATATGGCTCTTTTGATAACATGACTTTCCGTAATATATTACCGGAGCAGAAACCCGAACCAGAGGCTTCGTAACCAGGATAACATTCACATACTCCGCTGTTGCAGTGAGAATTAACATCACAGGTGACAGAGGCGCACGGGTCTATCGCTGTAATAAAGTAAAATTCATCAGTTTAAATAGTATAGGGGTTTCTAAAATACTTGAACAAGTTTTCAAAATATAACTTAACTGAATTATTTAACGTTACATTCAATTCACCCTGACGTAGTCAGCAAATATAGAAAACACATTTTTATACGGATGTAACAAGTACTTGTCACAAATAAACTTATTGTGATATCTTTTCATTTTTTAATGCTCTAAATATGTTTACTTTATTGCAGATATTGTATTTTTTTTAAACTTGGAATTCTGGTACAAACTCACTGTTTTACGTTTTGAGCTATTATCTGACATGCCATACATTATTTGATTCTAAGTTTTATAATTACGCCAATACGTCGCAGTGTTACGTTGCAGTATTGTCCCGAGTGTAAATATACCATTTGTTTTCAAATACATTGACCAAGTGTGTGTGCGTTAAAGATAATCACATACAGCTGACCTTAATGATGTCCTTCAGGCATGTTCTCACAAAAATGGACATCAAATTATTCCTATAGCGATCCATCAACAATTCGTGAGTTAATGTAACATATAAGGTAGCTATTATGTAAACGTTTCAGGTCAACTTACACACTTTGTGTGAATACAATTACCCAATTGCACGGTTATAACTTACCTGAGCATGACGCTGGTCCAGATACCTCATACCCAGAGTGGCAAATACATACGCCGTTGTCACAATACGAGTTCGCATGACATGTTATTGAGTCGCATGGGCCTGTGGAAAGAGAATACATTGATTGCAATTGATTCCTGAAGTAAAAGTACATGGCATAATAAGGTGTTTGGTAAAATTGCAGATACAATGTTAAAGGTATGTACTGATTTATATTAGAATACACTTTAACGATGAGTGAAAGCCAGAAAAAATGGAAACTACAATTGAGAACTCATATTTTACAGTTTCATTCTATATAATACTTACTTATATTTTATATATATATTATTTGTTGTAAATATATATCATTTGTTATTTTTATATATTATTTTTACCCCTACTTATTTTTTAAATGCTTTCTCGCCGGATTATAAAACAACAAATTGTCATCTTAATTGCAAGATTTATTGTCAAGACCGCTAATGCCAGCTTAGAGGACTCACGCCACTAAATCAGCCGATCAGTAAGTGTTTCATACGATTATAATCTCTACCTAAAATTTTCCGGTTAAATAAAATGCCTCTGCGTAATTTAAATAGGTAATTGTTGACAATTTTTTATTGAATGCAATTAACAGATATAAAACTTTAGAAAAACGTATAGTCTTAGTAGATTTTATTATGTGATGGCGGATTGATATAGGTTCAAATGTCAAGGGGTGTTCCATGTTAAAAAGTACAGAAGTACAGTGGAACATTTTTAAACCAGATATCAGTAAGGTTTGATGTTTGGCCGGTATACAAAGTGTCTAGTTGAAGGGGTTCAGTATTGTTAGGTATCGAAGTTTCGAATACGATTTTGTTTTGGAAATTAACCAGTAATAAATGAAAGCAATGTGGACGTTTTATTTTTAAGATAAGTTACATAAACTGCAACTGATTATAAAGTTAAAACCCATTTTTTTTTTAAATATAACAGACCAAGCAAAATAAAGAAAACTGAACTGAACAGGTTACATAACTACGAATAAAGAAATGTATCTAGCTCAGTGCCACTTTTTCAGCATGGGCAGGGTCCGCAATAAACACTAACAATAGTTTGAAAGAGGGTATGCCGGGATAAAATAACAAAGCCAGTATTGATAGAGATATCCAGATTATACTGTAAAATACCTATCTTATATACATTGTAAGTATACACTACCTATACAGGCCGAAGAAACCTCGTCAAAACCATCCTCACACTCACAGTCCCATGGAGGGAAAGACCATCTGATATTGCAGTAGGCGCCGTCAGGGCAATCATAAGTTGAATAGCAACTCCCAAATGCTTCAACACCTAGACACAAAAATGTATGACAATAACTGTTATGATTACAACCATTGCATTTTTCTGAAGAAACAACGAAAGAATACCAAAATGTAAACGAAATCATAATGATAATTATGAAAAAGAAACCAATGCAAAAAGGTCATGTTTTCGTATTTAGATATGTTATTCTGATCAACTTTGTTATCCACAAATCATCACGTGTTATCGATTGCAATATACAATATGTACTATTGTAATATACAAACTGTCCACCTAGAGTTAATTATCGATTCTTACAATTTAAACTTACGCGAAAGAGGGAACTATCTAAGTGTTAACAAAACATTAGTTCGAACTCAAATTCGATCGGACGTTGGGGCGTTTCCTAACCTACCTGTCCAGTTCTTTCCGTAAATATTCAAGGGGGACACATTTAGACTGCATGGTGGCATAGCAAATACTCGACCATTAGTTTGGCTGAACAAGTACGATACACCCTTACAATATAAGGTCAGATAGTATCCTACAAGAAGGTAAGAGGTTGCTGACGGATAAAGCAAATTATCGTAATTCATATAATTTATTTGAGGTATTTCCTTAGCGTCAAATCTCCAGAAATAATATAAAGCCAACTTAGTTGGTGAATCAATGTATCGACCATATTGGATGTCAATGTTTGTACAATACATTATTGAACAACTGTTATATAAATAGTACACGATGTTCACCTTAAATATCACGTTAGAAAGATAGGGTCCAATAACTAGAACTCTTATATAACGCATAATAAATATATTGATTTTAACACAACATCTCGGCAGAATGATAGGATCCAATATACCATCTACTGGTAGCATGATCAATTCATTATCACTGGTTGTACGTATGAGAATACACAAGAAGAAGTTGAGAATTACTAAAACAAAACATGTGAATAGATTTCCCCATTTTTGAAAGAATTTTCTAAAAACATAACGTCCTCACGCGCCAGGTGCTCACGTGACGTCCTGAACCGGAAATAGTATCCACACAAAGGTGATCCGCGTAAGAAATGGTCGGTTACATTAATAAAC